CTAAATCCCTCGAGGGACAAAGAGCTTGTAGCACTTGGTCCAGTTCTGATCAGTGACCTATTGATTAGCTAAAGTAGTCTAGTGTGCCCCCTTCCTAATAGGTACACAAACTATTATGACACAGTCAGTGCTGTGTAAGGGGCAGCAAGTAAGGCTACAATTAGGAGATCTGACAAGCTGGAACACACTACAACCAGAAAATGTGAAGAAGGGGGCCATGAATACTGTGCTGGCTGTGTAAGAACACCCACACATTGAGCTTCAGCCTGGGGTGGAGCAACAGCCAGCACAAACCTGAAATGTAATTTCATCGCACAATGTCCCACGGTCAAGAACGGGACCGAGGGCTACATGCTCTTGGTCCCCTGGGGGTCAACAAAGATTTTTATGTTGTACTACTTCTTTATTGGCATTTATTTTGAAAAAGCAAAACAATATGAAAAAACCATGTGAAAGTCAATTTAAAAATGAATATGAATGCATATGATCGAGCATGCATACTGGAGGAAAAAAAAACCCACACACATCCAAAAGCACTTGCCCTGAGCAAAGACTTCTGTACAACCAGTCTGCCCATAAATGGATCCAGCAGGGATCAGAACAAATTTCGATCCGCGGCCAGCTTAAGTCTTACACCAGCAGCAGGACCGGAACGTCAACATTGTTACTTTTTACCTTCTCACAGTGACCTGTCGGCTTTCTCGTTGAAGCGGGGGCTGATAAGCCCTCTACAGCTGCGATTCAGGAGGGGAATCAGGCAGCTTACAGCCTGAACCACTTCCTGAATTGCAGCTGTAATGGATTACCAGCTCACTTGTATTGGCAATTAAGTAAATTAAAAAAAAAAAAAAAAAAAAAGTGTAACAAAATATGCAAACGAAATTTTTTAAAAAGTCCCACTCACCAAAAGTCTAAATTATGTAAAATCTTTTAAAGCATCGCTTACGGACAATTGTGGGTACAGCAGGGTGTGTACAATTTTAAAGTGGAACTTCATCCAAAAGAGGAAGTTTTGCTCCAAGTTCTCCCTCCCCCACACTTGGCATATCAGTTTCTTTTTTTTTGGGGGGGGGGGGGAGTGGGTGCCTAGGTGATAAGCAGAAGTTTGATCCCTCTCTCTTTACCCACAGCTTTCTGGGACACGTCACAGGTCCCAGAGGGCCATGGGACTATTCACATATGCGCAGTAGGAAGCCAGCTGTGAAGCTGCAAGCTGTCACAGTTGGCTTCCCACACTAAAGATGCTGGAGCCAGGGACCCAAAGACTGGTGAAGAACTAGCCCAAGTAAGGACAGCACTGGATCCCTGGACAAGTAAGTGTCATTTTAATAAAAGTCAGCAGCTACAGGATTTGTAGTTGCTGCCTTTAATTTTTTCTACAGTGAAGAACTGCTTCAAGGCTTGATGTGCTTGGTATCTACTGAACACAACTTCAACTTTTATATTTTACAATAAAATGGGGTATTATTTTATGTGTGCACGAAAATTAATTTGAGCATATTTTTCACTGAAAATTTGGGTTTGATAAACAGCTACGCTAATTTTGTGTAATATAAAAAAAAAAAAATTGAAAAATTGCAAATGCCCCAAATTTATTCTCCCCCTTTCAGAAAATAAATAATGTTTGTGGGGTGTAAGTAATCTTCGGGTCTAAAACGTGTACTTAACATATTTGCCAGGAAAAATGAAAAAAAAAAAAAAAAGTTAAAGAAAAATCACTGTTCCATTTTATTATATGCTGACAAATCCACTACAATGTAAAATTAAATATTTTTCAATTTTGTAAATTATGTAAATTAAATTTGTAAATTACTTTTATACTTTACAGCCTGAATAGTGGCAGTTCATTAAAAGGTTATTTATTGGGGTTTGTTTTTTTTATTTTGGTCAATGAAGCATCTAATTTGCATGTTAAAAGGCTAAATTCACCTTAAAAAAAAAATAAAATAAATGCATATATTTTTTCAGGTAAAAATAATTTTTTTTTCCTGGAGCCTGCAGAATATTGCACCCAGGATCAGCAGATCACGGGTGCAATGTCAGGCTCCTGCCAGACTCTCAGTATAGCGGTCTACCTGTACCTCCCATAAGGTGAGGTGCATTTATCTTTAAAGCATGCTGGGCTTTGTAATAAAAGTAAGTGTTTGTGTAGAAGTCTGAATTGCAGGGATCAAATTAAAGTCAGAGTATGCACACCGTAGTAGTAGATAAACTTAAAGTACATCTGAAACCTAAACTTTTTCTTACTCAGCCCCCCACCCATTTAAGATAGAGCAGGGCGGGGTTGAAACCGCTGTTAGTCTACAGCAGTGGTTCTCAACCTTCCTAATGCCGCGACCCTTTAATACAGTTCCTCATGTTGTGGTGACCCCCAACCATAAAATTATTTACCAGTAATTATAATTCATGAGTGTCGTTTTACCTCCAATACTGCTGCTTTCAACACAGTAGCTGCTTTTAACAGAGTAGCTGCTTTCAACACAGCAGCTGCTCTTTACACATCGGAAATATGTGTTTTCCGATGGTCATAGGCGACCCCTGTGAAAGGGTTGTTCGACCCTCAAAGGGGTCGCGACCCACAGGTTGAGAACCACTGGTCTACAGGTCAAGAAGTGAAAACTTCCAGAGACACTGCTATAAAAAAAACAAAACAAAAAAAACAAACAACTACTACTACTACTACTATCAATGTGAGGGAAAGTTGTTACAAGTACAAGTGTCCCGATTGAAAGATATTTACTCCATTCCTGTTCTGGTGGTAACTTAAAATTTTGGATTTTCCCTCACTTTCATTCCAGGTGACATTGGTGATTAGGACAAAGAGTAGATCTCCAAAACACGGACACAAAGATCAGTAAAAACCCAACAGTAGTTCCAACCCATCAGCACTCTCAAATCTAAAAAAAAAGGTTTGCCTTTAGTTGTACTTTGATTAAAAAAGAAAAGAAAAGGAAGATCAAAAAGATTAACAAATATGCCACCTGCTTTCGGCAATTTTAAAGAAAAAATACTTATTATACATTTTATAGTGCACCCTCAACATAAAGAATATAAATTACCAAAAAAAACCCCAAAACTATGGATTGCCCTTACGTTTTAATTTAGCTCATTAGTTTCAAAATGTTTTCTCCCTGACTTTATCATTACCCATGCCCACATAGTTACTTGGCTATTTTTGAAATGGGTAGTTCAGATAATCTGTGTATAAAAAATTCAGGATCTTACATTAAAATAGAAACCCCTGTCTGCTTCTGCACTTAACATAAAGGTCTCATTCACACGGCCGATTATTTGGGTGTCCTGTGCATGGCTGTATTTGCAGTCATAGATTACATAGGCGTTTCATACTTCCCTGTGCCGGCAGTCCCACAGATATCTATTGGGACACGCGAATGCATGGACACAGACACTGTGTCCCAATATGACGTTCATGCAGGTGTGGTCCCCAAATTCACTGCAAGTGTGTTCAGGGCTGTGCACCTGCACGGATATCACATTGAGACACAGTGGCTGTGTTTGTGCAGCTGAGTGTCCCAATAGACATCTATGGGACTGCTAGCCTGGGGATGCACACAACACCTATGTATCCCTGTGGTGGCAAAACACAGGCCTGCACAGGGCACACAAGTAATCAGCCTGTGTGAATGAGGCCAAACATATGCACACTCCCTCCACTGACTATAAAACATAAAATATATTTGGCACTTTAATAGTGGAGGACAAGTTCAAAAAATACCTTTTAAGACATAAATCCAGTGTCGTGGCAATGCAGTCCATATAATAACATACATGTATACCTTCATCTATCTTATCAGGTTCAAAACAGTGTCCTGAGTACTGTACCATTATCATCAGTGATCTGATATACTCATTTATCTTCAAGCTTTATAACCCCAGTATGAGGTTGCAATGAATGTAAGGCACAAGGTTTCTGCATGTCACAGACTGCATAGGTAGATGCTGAACCATCTGCTTCATATTGTCCTTAGCCTTCAACTTCCACTTCTGAGATGTGAGGTTTCCACATCTGTATCTGAATTGTACAAATCGCAGGCCTCATACATATCTGGAACATCCACATTCCCATTAATTTCTCGCAGCTGCTGGTAGGAATAGGTCCAATCTGTACGTTTTTCTTTACATGTCCACACTTGCTTGATATTAAATGCAGCACTGATCACAAGAAGCACAGCAAGAATGCAGCTTACTATTGCCCATGTTTGTCTGCAAAGGAGAGGAGGTTGGGTTAAACAATATATTACTCAAGTACCAAGGTTTACAACTAATCCTTTTATTTACTGAAACATACATATCATGAATGTTGTGTAGTTAAATGTAAAACACAGACTAAATCTAATTAAAAACAGAACTAGTGTGACCTAGTAACAGGATAGGTTGGAAAATTCAGCTACTGCTATAAAATAGTCAAATGCAGAGCAGCAGTATTGGTGCCAGGATCCTAGGCTCACAACACACATTACAATCCCATTGTACAATTGTTAGATCTACCAACACACAGGTAGTTCAATAGCCTGCCTGATTGGATAGTTTAGCTAGGTGCTCATATTACATTAGTTTTGTAAAATGTATAATTGATTGTACAGTCAGATTGTAACATTTTATGGTGACTCCCTAGAGTGGTTTCATTTCAGTGCAGAGGATCTCCACACATTAGGCAGGTTTCCATGCCATTAGTATCTATACTCTACATCCTTTGTGCTGGAAGCAAGAATGACACAGGGCCAATGTGTCAGCAGTAATTATTTAAAAGTACAGTACACTTAGGTCAAACAAGAACATTTTGTGCTCTTGCATAAACACACAAAAACTTACTCGGTGAAATATATTATTTTGGCATCAGAAGGCACTTCTTTCCACCAGGAAGTGTACATCAGCGATTCCATACAATGACCAACTGAAATATAATAAATATGAATTCAAATTAAACACACGGGAGACCTTGTTGCAAGCGCTCCAAACATAATTTATCTTCATTTTCCTGAGGTTTTATTTTTGCTTTTTTTCTCCCCCTTTCTTTGCAATAAGCATAAGCAAACCTTTCATAAATAGTTCTTTTGCTACAGGTGCATCAGTAACATTGCAGCTTCCGGTAACATGGTCACAGTAACACTGCTTTTCACAATGGCAAACTTCTTGGCACTGTAAACCATAAAAACCAAATGGGCACGCTGCAAATATAAAAAATGAAAGAAAACATTACATTGTTAAGCAATATAATTATACAGCTAGAATAACATACAATAAAATACAAGTCAACACAAAGATATTGCAGAAATCTCAACTTATTTTTACTGTGCAGTTTTACTTTATAATACTATGGAATGTATTTATGAACTTTACCCAAGATTCACAAACTTTTGGATCTATTGACATTTAATTGAGATATATATACACACACACACACACACACACACATACACACACACATATACATACATACACACACAAGCAGTACGATACACTATAAATCTTGAATAATCACTACCTTCTTCACAGCAGGGCCCGTGAAATCCAGCTGGACACGTACAGTTCCCATAGATGTGGTCACAAGTCCCATTGTTCTGACACTGACACATGCTGGCACATCCATCTCCATAGTAACCCTGAATACACGCTGGACAGAAGAACAAGGAATACAAACAATGTTGTTAGAATAAACATTCATTTCTTCCACATTGCAAATGATGATGTTATTTACGTAACTGGATGTCCAGTACACTTTATTAATGCCCTTTGCCATTTGTTTTGCCCTTACATTTTACTTACTACATTTGTAACGAAACAAGATTGCAGTGATTTGTCTATCAGCTAATGACCTAAAATGATCTGTTTACAAACTCAATGGCTGGAAAAATATAAACCTGTATGTGTTGATGTGCCGAGTTGTTGCCCATGTTCAGACATTTTATGCATTTCTCCATTTCCTAATCCTTGTCCTTAAGGTAAACCCAGCCGCAGCCGCTGATCATGTACCAAATGGTGGGTTTACCACAAACGGGCTGAGCAAACAGATGGTCCCAGCAGAAAACTGATGAAACCTATGCACTCCAGAAGGCAAAGGGCTGGACTGTTGCTGTAGTTACCAGATGTATGAGAGCCCCCCCCCCCCCCCCCCCCCCCCCCCCCCCCCCCCCCCCCCCCCCCCCCCCCCCCCCCCCCCCCCCCCCCCCCCCCCCTGAGTACATAGGATGTGACATGCTATGTGGGTATTGAGAATACTCTTTATGCCGCTGTATTGCTGTCAGAATGTCTGCCTGGACAGATGCTTATGTCAAGGCTATACTGTAGCTATATTCTCTCCACTGTGCTTCATGCAGTTTGAGCCAAACTATCTGCTAGCCTGCTGCCTACCTATTCTTTGCATGGGCTTATGCCTGTAAATCTGGGATCGGTACAATACCGGTAGATAAATTTGGAGACCAGCCTGTATTGTCCATACATGAACTTTAATGAATATGGAAGATCTCTATTGAACTGCTGTGTTTCAATCCAAGATTCTTGAAGAACGATACATGCTGTATCTCCCTGGATATAATTAATGTAATAATATAATTAATGCTATACGGCTTATATAAACTTTACTTACAGTAACACCAATCTACATGGTTAAAACATTCCAAGGCACTGTGAAGTGCATAAAACCATGATAATGTCAGTACTGATCCTAATTAATTGATTTCGGGTTTTATGCTGCTTTGATATCAGCATTTGCCTTTGGTTCAAAAGGGAGATAACCAAATACCACCAACGATTAAAGCGGAGTTCCACACAAAAGGGGAAGTTCTGCTTTAAAGATTGGTCCCCCGCTCCCCATTAAGGATTGGCACCTTTGGGGAGCGGGAGGGGGGAGAAGAGACACAGGTACCCGAATTTACCAGGTACCCGCACCCACTTCGATCACCTAGGTGATCGGAAACGGAAGTTGTCCTCCTACCCTTCCTTCCCGAAGTCTTGTGGTACATGTGACAGGTCCCAGAAGACGATGGGGCCATTCAGGAAGCGCAGCGCTACTCGCACTGTGAAGCCGCAAGCTGTCACAGCCGGGTGCCCACATTGAAGACATCCTGGAATACAAAACGGCCGGTGAAACGGGCTGCGGCGGGGGCAACGCAGGATTGTGGGACAAGTGAGTGGCTGTTTTTTGAAAGTTTTTGTAGCTGCTGACTTATTTTTTTACAGAGTGAGTGGAACTCCGATTTAAGTCTTGTGGAGGCAATATTTCATTTATAGCCCATTTGGTGGCACGCAGGGTGATCCTGGTTAAGCGGACCCTGATTGGTGAGTTGGCAATGTGATTTTCTGAAAATCTGAGCTAGTTCAGAAAATTAGGGACAACCGTGTTTGAATTTGATCTTACAAGCAGTGTTTAATCTGAAATGTTTTTTTTTTTCTCAAAGATAGATGTGAAAAACGTTTATGGTGCCTGCACTTAGTTTTTTTTTTTTTCCATCTTAGATAATGTTTATAACCAAACAGGTTCACTTTCTCCACCTGTAGGAATTCTTGGGAAGACATTGTGACCCCAAGGAAGCTTACACATACCACTGGTGTCAGCCCTAATGTTAACCATGTAATTATGTAAGCATGAAAATTACCATCACTGCAGTTACTGCCTGTCCAGCCAGCATCACATTTACATCCAACTGCAATGACAGAAAATATAACAACATTTTAGAAATTGAATATTATTGTAAACTATCTAAATAATGTGCATTATACTGCCCCAATATGTGATATATTTCCCCTAAAGGCATACTTTTGTTATTTTTATCTTAATGCTTTCTCTGCATTAAGGTAAAAAAACCTTCCATGATCAGCTCCCCCAGTCACCCCCCTTAAATAGTTACCTGGCTCCCCATTTGATCCAGCACTGTGCACATCAGCAACAGCAGCAGGAACCATTGGCTCCTATTGCTATCAATCAAATCTTGTGAGGAGAGAGCGAGGAGGGAACAGGGAGCGGGGGTTGAGCCACGCTGTGTGGACGCACACACACCTCAGCTCGGGAGCACGGCCACATGAGTGCCCCCATTACAGGTGGCAATGGGTAAAATAAGTATTGAACATGTCACCATTTTTCTAGGTAAATATATAAATAGATATCTAAAAGGTGCTATTGACATTACATTTTCACCACATCAGTAACAACCCATGCAATTCATACACACAAAGTAACCAAAACAAATAAGTTTAGATATTAAGATATGTGTATTAAAATGGAATGACACAGGGAAAAAGTATTGAACACATGAAAAAAGGGAGGTGCAAAAAGGCATGGAAAGACAAGACACCAGCTGAAATTATCAGTAATTAGACAGCAATCCTGCCCCTTGTCCGTGCAAATTAATATCAGATGGTTCAGTCTCAACTGATGGCCTATAAAAAGGTGTCTCATTACCAAGGTGTAACACAAGAAACTCATGATGGGTAAATGCAAAGAGCTCTCTCAAGACCTTCACAACCTTATTGTTGTTGGAAAACATACTGATGGCATTGGTTACAGAAAGATTTCGAAACTTCTGAATGTTCCAGTGAGCACTGTTTGGGCCATAACCCAGAAGTGGAAAGAATTATCAGAACAGTTGTCCAAGAATCAAGGTCCACTTGTGAGGAGCTTCAGAAAGGCCTGGAATTAGCAGGTACAATTGTTTCAAAGAACACAATAAGTTTTGCTCTCAACCGCCATGGCCTGTATGCACGCTCACCAAACAAGACTCCACTGCTGAAGAAAAAAAATGTTGAAGCTCGCTTAAAGTTTGCTGCACAACATTTAGACAAGCCTGTGAAATACTGGGAGAATATAACCTGGTAAGATGGGAACAATATTGAGCTCTTTGAATGCCATAATACACATCATGTTTGGAGGTCAATAGGCACTGCACATCACCCTAACAACTCCATACCAACAGTGAAGTTTGGAGGTGGGAACATCATGGCGTGGGGCTGTTTTTCAGCATACAGTACTGGCAAACTTCATATCACTGAAGGAAGGATGAATGGAAAAATGTTCCAAGGCATTCTTGATAAAAATCTGCTGCCATCTACCAGGATGATGAAAGATTAAATGAGGATGGACATTTCAGCAAGACAATGATCCAAAACACAAAGCCAAGAAAACTCTCAATTGGTTTCAAAGAAAGAAAATAAAGCTGCTAGAATGGCCCAGCCAATAACCTTACTTGAATCCAACAGAAAATCTATGGAAAGAACTAAAGACCCTTTGCAGTCTGGCTTTCGGTCACTCCACTGAAACTGCCCTACTAAAACTCACTAATGATTTACTAACTGTTAAAACCAACAGCCACTACTCTATACTCTTACTACTTGACCTCTCTGCAGATTTTGATACTGTTGACCATCCCCTCCTCCTCAAAAAGATTCTGCTCTCTCCTAGTTCTTCTCCTACCTATCGCAGAGCTCCTTCAGCGTTACCTATAACTCTGTCTCCTCCTCTCCACTTGCTCTTTCTGTAGGGGTCCCTCAAGGTTCTGTCCTTGGACCCCTTCTCTTCTCCATCTACACCTCCTCCCTTGGTCACTTGATAAACTCCCATGACTTTACGTACCATCTCTATGCTGATGACACACAAATCTATCATTCTACTCCTCACCTCACCCCTTCAGTCTCCTCTTGCATTACTAACCTACTAAGTGACATATCAGCATGGATGTCACTCCACTTCCTCAAACTCAATCTTTCTAAAATGGAGCTCCCACTATTCCCTCCAGCCCATGCCCCCTCCCCTGACTTGTCCATCAAGATCAATAATGCAACCAACCATCAGTCCCTCCCCTCATGCCAGGGTACTAGGTGTAATCCTGGACTCCCATCTGTCCTTTCAGCCCCAAATCTAATCACTGTCCAAATCTTGTAGATTTCACCTCCGCAACATCTCCAAGATACGCCCATTTTTAACCTCAGAAACTACTAAGCAACTTATTCACTCCTTTGTTATCTCTCGCCTTGACTATTGTAACTACCTCCTCATTGGCCTACCTAATCACAGGCTATCCCATCTTCAGCCTATCATGAATGCTGCTGCCAGACTCATCCACCTTACTAACCATTCCATATCTGCCAATCGCTCCACTGCCCAACGAATAAAATTCAAAACAGTAACAACATATAAAGCTATCTATAATTCTGCCCTAAATTACATCACCAATCTTGTCTCCAAATATCACCCAAATCATCCTCCTCGCTCCTCCCACAACCTCCTACTCTCCAGCTCCCTTGTCTCCTCCTCCCATGCTCATCTCCAGGACCTCTCCAGAGCCTTCCCCATCTTTTGGAACTCTCTACCCCAAGCTATCCAACTATCACCTATGCTGTCCATTTTTGGCAATCTCTGAAACTCTCTCTCTTCAGGGAAGCCTATCCTGCCTTCAGCTAATAGCCAAATCTTCTATTTCTCCTATAGGTTCATTCCCCACAGTTATTACTTTTTGTACCACCAGCCCTTTCCTCTTAGATTGTAAGCTCAATGGAGCAGGGCCCTCCTAACCCTCTTCTACTGAACTGTATCGTTGCTGTATTGTCTCCTTTTATATTGTAAAGCACTGAGCAAACAGTTGGTGCTATATAAATCCTGAATAATAATAATAAAAAAGATCAGAGTTCATAGAAGAGGCCCACAGGACCTTCAAGATTTGAAGACTGTTTGTGTGGAAGAATGGATCAAAATCACACCTGAGCAATGCATGCGATTAGTTTTCCCATACAGGAGGTGTCTTGAAGCTGTCATTACCAACAAAAGATTTTGTATTAAATAAATTTCAGTTTGCGTGTTCAATACTTGTTCCCTGTGTCATTCCATTTTATTACACATAATTTCTGAACATATTTGTTTTGGTTTCTTATGTATGGATTGCATGGGCTGTTACTGACATGTGGTGAAAAATTCATGGCAATAGCACCTTTAGAAATATAGTGATGTGTTCAAAACTTATTTTACCCGCTATACATATATGTATATATGCCTTTTTACAACCACTTTAAGCCAACTACAGCATGTGGCCCATGACCACCTAATGCTGGCCAAACACTAGTAGAATTTCTAGTATAAACAGAGAGAAAAAAAAGGGGGCACACCAGCCTTGTGCATTACCTAGGGTGATAGCTTTATTAATCCAAAGAAAAATATACTCACAAACATTGTAGAAACAAAAGCGTGTCACATACAAAAGCGACCAGTACACAGGATCAGTTCCCAAATTCGTGAGGGCCCTCTTATGGCTGACACGTTTCGAGGAGCGGTCTCCTCTTCCTCAGAGCCGGTCTGATAGCTCAGACAATCAGTCTTACATGACTGAAACCGAGGTCACATGGCATAGTCTAAACTCCTCCCACAAGGAGGTGGGAATAAAGCCCTAAATAAAGCCCCAAATCTTTTTGTTTGGGGCTTTATCCCCACCTCCCTGTGGGAGGAGTTTAGACTATGCCATGTGACCTTGGTCATGGGTAAAGTCTAGATTTGCACATTAAGTGAGATATGTATATTTATGAATCCACTAACTATTCTAAAGCATGTTAAAGCAATGCGTGTACATGTGCATTGTGGTGCCATTTGAACAGTTTTATATAGTGAAGTATTCTGCAAAACATACTGTAAAAGAGTTAGTGTTTACATGAACTTTAAAGCCCAACTCCAGGAAAAAATGTAATTTGAATAGTACTTTGTGTATCAATTACATTACTCCTCAGTCTTGATTCCAAACACTATTCCTAAGCAATTCTGCACTGTAATGGATCAAAGTTACAGTTTCCTCTATAAGCAAAATGTTAATATCCTATCCTGAGAGAAACCAATTGTTAAAAAGATCAACATTTTATTTAAACAAATTTCTTTAGTCTGAAACATTGATGTAAAGAACAACAATTTTTGACAAAACATTCACTACACAGATTTGTGGTTTTTACAATATGTATCCAGTGGAATGTTTTGTCAAAAATTGTTGTGCTTTACATTGGTCAGTATGTCCTGCCTACCTGATATACATAAATGTGTCAGACTAAAGAAATTTGTTTAAATAAAATGTTGATCTTTTTAACAATTGGTTTCTCTGTATATACTTCAAGGTTGCCTTAAAAATCCCACAAAATGTAAGGCAAAAATTCTCTCTGTAAGGAAATAGGGATGATGGCAACCACACCCTAAGCTACACTGATTGACTTCTCATTTTCTTGGACACTGGTTCCTTCACCGCCCCCCTTGAGATCTCCTTACTCTGGAGCCTTTGAGAGAGGACCTGGCCACTGGAATTGCTGCCTCCATCAATAAGAGATGTGGAGAGCAGTCAGTGATGTGGACACCCAAACAAGAAGGACCCCAGGAAGTAAACAGAAGAAGAAACAAGGATCATCATGTGACTGTGGTTTCAGTTAAAGTGAACTAAAGTCTAAATGTAAAAAAAAATGCAAGTAGATCAAATCTTTGCAGGTCTCTTCTACAATAAAATAAACGTACCTGCCTGTTTATAGTCTTCCTTAGAATGTGCACTGTGATTCGCATGCACGGCTCAGTTCACATTCCAGAATAGTGCCTATTGTGTGTGCCAGGATGACTGTACATCTACACATGCATGATGTCATCCCACGCTGGCCAATCAGGATGGCTGAAGACTGGCACCATAAAGAAACTGAGAAGATGCAAGGGACCTCGGATCGTTAAAGCAGAGGTGTGTATTAGGACTTTACGTTCTGCTTTAAGTAAAATTATCATTTGGATAGGCTTTTTTTTTTTTCTTTCCAGTGGTTAGTTAGAGGGGGTTGCCCATATCCTGGAACTGGGCTTAACTTACTTAGTAAGCATTCCACAGTTTAACCACATCTTCCTTCTCCCCACATTTCCTCCTCCTTTTCCTACCTTTGTCTGTATCATGGGACACCAGCTGGCATGCATGTCCATACATTTCGTACTGCCTTGTTTTTCATCAGTGCTTTTCAGCAGCATAAATGCACCATACAGCATTGAACCCATTGTGCCCTGTGCCCATCAAGTCAGTGAGAGATCACTCAGTGTAAAGACCCATACCAAATGCCATGGGAGGCTCCAGTTAGGCTCATGCCGGTTAAAGGTTTTGTAGAATTTGTAGCCACCGTCTCTTTGGTATGATGCAGTTGTGAATGTTAAAAGCACTGATTGTAATAGATTTCTAAAGTTAAAGCCTCATCTCACCAGAAAGTGCTAGGGCGCAGAGAGTCCTTTATTGTGGCAGAACTGCTCTCATAAGCTATGAGATAATCAGAGAATGGGTAAGGGGGCTGCAAGCTTATCATAACTGCTTCATACAGTAGATCCCACTATATTTTATAAAAAATTAAAATTCAAAACCCTTTTGAATTGCACTGCAAATGAAATTTTATAACCTCATCAGTGATTGGCATTCTTGAAAGGATTCTCTTTGATTAGAAATGGATAGACCATTGCAAAATAGGTATGAAATGAGACCCCACTCCACCCACCCAATTAAAAAAAAAAAAAAAAAAAAAATTTATTGGTAGAATGACATACTCTGGGTGCACTTCCCATGACCACTACAGTTTGAAGCGCCACAGCGAAGGACATCACAGGAACTTCCTGTCCAGTAGCCAGTACAATGACATGCTCCTGCAACACACAGTCCGTGGCCTCTACAGTCAGGGGGATCACAGTACGGTTCATGGGTACAGATAATAGTAGACACACTTCGTGGACAGCGCCACATTGATTCATTCAGGCTATAAAGACAAAAATTAACACTGTGACAGTCTACAATTAAGCAATAGTGAAGCATTCATTCCTTTAACTGTAATTGAAAAAAAATATTAGAAAGTGGTGTTTTGAACCCAGAGTTATGCAGTCAAAATAAAATAACAGATCAACGGTGTGTAGCAAGAAAATGGATCCAGATATATAACATCTTTCAAGTCCACTGTGAAGTAAAATATTTAAAATGAACTCATCCCAGACCATCCATCCAATGGATAGCACTAGGAGAACTACATAGTCTCTGAAGACATCAGCATTTCATTTTGTTTTTTTTCGCCCTTTTAAAAAACAAAATGCAGCTCACACAAAGTGCAAATAGTGTCAATCTGTATCCATCTTAACTTTGACATTTTTACAGGGGTGTGTAGCTGTCAGGTTTTTTTTGAGATGTAAAAAAAAAAAAGAAAAACCAAGATAAAATCACATTCTGAGTTTTTTTTCCACTTTTGATGTGACCTATGATCTTTGTGATTTCGATCAAAACAAGCGGAAATCTTTAAAAACGTACCATAATAATGTGGTTGCACAAATATGCACACCCTTAAACTTATACTTTGTTGAAGCACGTTTTGATTTTATGACAGAATTCTTTTTGGGTGGGAGTCTCTCAGCATGGCACATCTTGCCTTGAGAATCTTTGCCCACTCTTCCTTGCAAAAATGCCCCAAATCTGTCAGATCATGAGCGCATCTCCTGTATTTAGCCCTCTTCAGGTCACCCCACAGATTTTCAATTGAGTTCAGGTCTGGGCTCTGTCTGGCCCATTTCAAAACTTTTAACTGGTGAAGCCGTTCTTTTGCCGATTTGGAGGTATGCTTTGGGCCGTTGTCATGCTGAAAGGTGAAATTCCTCTACATCTACAGCTTTTCAGCAAAGGCCATTGTGCTAAAATAAACTGATATTTGGAACTATTCATAAGTCCCTCCAGCTTGGCTAAAACCCCAGATCCAGCTGAAGACAAATAGCCCCAAAAGCATAATGCTGTCACCACCATGCTTTACTATGAGAATGGTGTTTCTCCCACATACCTTTGGCAGACTTGATGTAGTTTTTTTGCAAAAAATGTACTGGGCTTGGATATTTTTTCTTATCTAGAAAAGGCTTTCATCCCACCATCCTACACCTAAGCCCAGACATCTGAAGAATTCAGGATATTGTTTGCAACATTTAGTATACAACCGGCTCCTTTAATGTTGCTGTAGGCCTTATCTTGGCAGCCTCCTGGACCTGTTTTTTTTTCTATAATCATTTTTGGAAGAACTCCAGTTCTTAGGAAAGTCATTATTGAGCCATATTTGCTCTACATGTTGATTGTCTTTACTGTGGTCCATGGTACATCTAATGCCTTGGAATTTTTTTTTTGTACCTTCCCCTGACTGTTACCTTCCAACAATGAGATCCCTTTGATGTTTTGTAAGCGCTTTGTCAACCATGGCTTTTGTTGTATAAGGCAACTAAATAAGGGCTAGTTCACACCACAACCTCTGCAATCCGGATGTGTTTCTGGTGCCTTCCATGCATTTCCCCCCCTTTTTTTTTTTCATCTCAATTCAGGACATATGTGTTCTGGTGCATTTTCCTGCATTCCAAATGCGCTCCATACAGAAAAATGCAGCAGGTTCTACTTTTGTTGACTGCACTGGAACACACTGCATTGTTGTGAACTAGGGTTATTTGAATACATGAAAAAAACACTGTGCATGTGTTTTTGATGCAGATTAAAAAAACACATTGGACTGCATTTAGTGTGAACCAGCCCAATAGGTCAGAAAAATCTTACTAGAACAGCTATTATTTAACATCCGTTTGAATGCAATTGGTTAATTCTGAACACAACCACATCACTAATCTTAAGAGGGTGAGTAGGTACCTTGTTGAAAACATAGAGCTAGTCTCTGTTTTCAGGTTTCAGGTGCTGGTGGGAGGAGCCTGGTCATGGCGGCTGTGGGGAGTGAGCGGCACTAGCCTTCGGCTAGGTACCGCTCCCCGACCTCCCTGGTGACCCTTAGGAGCCGACTCACCGGAGTCTGGAGGGCCGTGGAGTGGAGCCCGGAGAGCCGGAGATGGGAGCCAGACGAGGGTCGCAGTGACGGGCCGGCCTCTCCGGTCCTTGGTGAGAGAGGGACCCGGACGGCTGGAGAGCGGAGTGACGTGGCGGGGGTGTGCGACCCGGCCGCGCGGAGGCTCTCTGGGAGAGGAGAAAGCCAGCCGGCCGCCTGATCTGATGGAGAGATGCCGGCTTACAGTTACCGGCTCTCTGATGCCCTCAACCCCCGGCTAACTACTGCCCATAATCCCCCGGCTGGCTACTGTCTGTAGCCCCCGGTCTATTGCTGCCTGGGGCCCCCGGCAAGCTGACTCTTCGATTCTGGGTCAGGGAGCCCGGGAGCGCCAGGAGACCCCCACCCTGCATCCCTGAGGACGAAGCCCAGAGGAAAAAAAAAAAAACCCAGGTACAGAGTTGGAAGCCCAGAGGAATCCCCCCCAGGACAGAGCTGCTGTGAAGACCCTCCACCCAAGCTTGGAGCCACCATCCGGGGAAGAGAAGGGTGAGTGAGACCTGCTGGGGGCCTATATTGTATTGTATAGTGGACTCCTGAGTGACAGTGGGGAACAAGGGGTTAAGGAGGAGAGGGGAGGATTCCCTGGGTTCAGAAGAGAAGAGACCCACGTTCCCCTAGGAGAGCACAAGTAAAACTCAGTAAACCTGTCTGGATTACAAACCATAGAGGAGAGGTATAACCCCATCTAGAGAATATAGAAGACAAAAGACTTATAGAGGATATGAAGAATAAAGGTCCTAAGGGAGCAGGGCTCAAAGGGTCTCAATCAGGCACGATAAAGAAATTTACATCACATGGAAACATTACGCCAGAAAGGGCCCAAGGCGCAAGCGCCAAAAGGGGAAATGGACACTAGCTCAGGAAACAGCCCGAGACTATCACTGGGTATGAACAGCAGTTTGTAGCCAACAAATAGCGGATGGCTTTGGGACCAAAAAGAACTTGATGGTGAACTACAAATACCAAATAAGAAGGAGATGATAGAAATGTTCCAAAGTTTGGAGAAAACGATAAAACATGAAATGACAGTAATTCGGAAAACGATTTAGGGCATCTGCTAATGAGAATGGAAGAAACAGAGGAGAAAGTTAAAACCCAGGCCCAAACCATAGATAAGCTAAGGAAAAAAAAAATAACCCATTTGGAGAAAAACCCAGAAAAAAAACTGTTCTACAGGATGGAAATTCGAGAAAATAAAGAAAGAAGGTCTAACCTTAGGGTGAGAGGAATTCCAGAGGCAGCAAAAGGGGAAACATTATATGAACTAGTTAAAAAAAATCTTAAACTCCATAAGAGACAGACCTGAAACAGAAGTGATTGAACTGGATGGAGTTTTCAGAATAGGAAAGTTCAAACACAAGATACTGAGAGGGAAAGACCGAGAGATATTGTTGTACAGTTCCAGAAATTTGGGGTAAAAAATGAGATTTGGAAGAAGATCAAGGGAAGATCGTTAATTAAAATATGGAGATTTGACTCTTCAAAATTTTTTTGCGGATTTACACCAGAGACTCTATGGAGAAGGAGATCCCTGAGACCCCTGTTAGAGCAAATGAGAAAACAGAACGTACAATATAGATGGGGTACTTCAGCATCTCTAATTGGCTGGGAAAAATGGGTAACAGCATACCTGAGATTCCCCGAGGAACTGAGAGATTTTTGTGATAGACTGGATCTGCAAAGAATGGAGATAACTGGGTGGGCAGAAGAAGAAGAAAAAGGAGACTCGGATGATACGGGAGGGGAGGATTGGCAGCGGGTCGGGGGGGGGGGAGAGAGGCTATGGGTTGGGGAGAGGGGGGGGATGAAGTCTGAGAAATGGTAATGTGCAAGGTAAAATATACGTTTTTTTTTTCTCTCTCTTTGTTCCCTTGCCCCCCTAGTAATCCCCTTTTTTGGGGTGGAAGTGCCCTCTGGAGGCTCCGGTTGAGGTGGGGAAGTAAAGGCTATTGCAGAGCCTTGTAGATAGAGAAAGGGGTGCTAGGGAGGTCGGAGGAAAGGTGAGCCGTCCATGGGCGGAGTCTACTCCAATATTTTAAATCAACTGTGGAAACAGTTCCACAAATGATTTGTAGGCAGTTTATAAGCCTAAAAAATGGGTAGGGGAAAAGTAAGAGAGGGGGGGCGGGGGGGGGGGGAGATGGGGGGGGGTGGGTAGTGGGGCTAATATTCTGCAAAGTCATTCGGTCCTAATAGGAGGAGATGAATTAGAAGAGAGATAAATAAAATCAAGAAGGATGGAAGAAATACAGTTTATAACATATAATGTGAATGGGTTGAATTGCCTCTGGGAAAAGATTTAAGTTGTTTAAAGAGTTACATCATAGGGCAATGTCAGTATTTTTTGCAGGAGACACATTTTGAGATAGAATCTAATGTGAAACTAAAATCCAAATATTATCCTACATGGTATTACGCTGACTCTCCAATTAAAAGAGCAAAAGGGGGTGGCAATAGGATTGGCAAAAAATATGAGATTTGAGTTGGAGATAGAAGGACTGACCCGGAAGGGAGATTCCTGTTTTTGAAAGGTAAACTACAGGGAATTGAATGCACACTAGCCAATATATATTGCCCCAACAAGAAACCTGAGATCTTTCTGAAGGGTTTGCTAAAAAAATTGATAGATTTTAAAAAAGGGCGTTTGATAATAGCAGGAGATTTGAATCTCTGTATGGACCCACAAATGGATGCAACCTCCCTTGTGCAGAGAGAGAAGGGGGTAGGTCCCTGAGAGCTTTGAGGAAGGTGATCCACGAGTACCAGCTGGTGGACACCTGGAGAATAATGCACATGAAGGACAGAGACTATAACCTTCTTCTCTAATGCACATGAGACATACTCGAGACTGGGGGGGGGGGGGGGGATTACATTCTAATAGATCATCAACTCATTGAAATGCAGAA